GGCACGCCCCCCCCCCCCCCCCCCCCCCGGGGAATGTGCTCCCTCTCTGGGATCTCTGCAACACTACTTTTCCTTCCCAAGTTAGCTTAGAGGGGCTGCTAACCTCTGTCACTCCTGCTGCTTGTGCAGGGAAACAAGTGCCCCTCTGGCAGGACAGCAGCTGGGGCAGGGTGCCCCTGCCTGCAGAGCACTATTCTGTTCCCTCCCTAATGCTTGCACATGAAGGGTCCCACAAGAACAGCGAGGCCCCCCTGACAGCCTCTAGCCCTGTCACTCCAGCTCCTGAGAACTCCTTTCTCAAGGTGGAGGCAAAGACACCACCTGCGCTGGCACGTGTTTGGCTGAAGGCCACCTTGACACTGCTCTCAGGAAATCTCTGCAGGCTGGCATTCAGGGCTGGGTTTGTGTAACTCCACATTTCCTGGTCACTGCAGCAGGCTCTGCTTTCTTCACCCCTTCCCTAATCAGAACACGCACAGGATGTCTCTCATCTCAATAGCGTGTATTGCAGCCTCATGGCTTGCTCAATGAGGCCTGCCCTATGCAAAAGCAAATATTGCGCGCGGCTTCCCGTCTTTCAACATTAAGCTGCAGGCAGCGCTGACAACTGATGAAGAATGACCCCAGTTGCTACTGAGATGTCACCCACTGAGAAGCAGCTACTTTCACACTGCCACTCGAGTTTACAAGGGCAACACCCAGGCACAGCAGATGCACAGTAGAGCAGACCCCTGAAGCAGTCCTGTAGGTGTAGCTGCAATAGAGTGAGACTTACGTGACAAGTAACCCTGTGAAGTCAGTAAATCTGGCATCGCAACGTGCCTTCTGCTGAAAGACCATCAAGTTCAGAGCTAGAGAATTCAGAGGTCTTGGAGAGCCCACGCATACTGTTGAAATCACCAGACGTTCAGCAGAGAGGCAGAAAGGAGCAGGGCTCTATAGAGTCCCAAAATACCACACAGGCCCCTCAAAGTAGGTGGAGTGATCTTGGCCCCATCATCTCCCACAATCACTGGACAGGTTAAAGCAAAATCTAGCGCTGAATTCTGAGACAGCAATACTGCAGACTAACTGAAGCTTTTCTTTCTAACAGCAGCGACAGCAAGTGCCAAGTGTGTCAGCTTTTGCATTTGTTACGCAATTATGTCAAACTCAGGGGTGGCAGTATATGAGACACGTTACATTTAACCCCAGGCTCCAGCCCTACTCCTTGCCTTCAGCCAGGGATGATCCAGAATTCAGGATGTGCTACCTGAAATTTATGGCGTGTCATGAATATGATTTATCTGCTTCCTAGCACTGGAGAACTCTGTAGTGAAATCTCACTTAAATCAGTGGGAATCTTGCCACTAACTTCAACAGAGCCATGAGAGGGAATAATGCAGCAATGTCTGCTTGGAATGGATTACATGCATGTGCTTCAATTATAAGCTGTATCTGATACATCACACAGATATCCATACAAAGCCCTGTGAAACAAAAGAGTGGAACGAGATAAGAGAAGCAGGTAACGCTCCGCGTTATTTCTGACGCCTCCTGTGCTCCTGATCCCATTGAGGGCGGTAGTGTAGTTAACTCTTAGGAACGAAACTGCAACACAACGCAAGGAATAATGGAACTGTTATTACGAATTGCAAAAAGTAGAGCTGTAAAACAACATGAAGAGCCTTCAACGCGTTTAGAGTAGAAAAGAAGGGCTGCACAGCAAAACAACCCCGGATAGAGGAGGGTGCTGCAGATCCAGGACTGCTTCGATGCTGACGGAAGCTGCAGTTCCGACACGCTACTGTGCGCCCCCCGCCCTCACCCCTCGTCTCCAGCGCTCCTGCCCCCGGGCCGCGGCGGGGCGGCCCCTCTCCCCCGCAGGCCTGAGGGCCGGGCGTGGGGCGAGCCGGCACCACTGCCGATACCTGAAATCACCGCGGAGGCTCGTAGCGTCGGGCCGACCCCAGCGCGACCCCGCGGGGCCCTCTCACGGAGCCGGGTGAACGGCGGACGGCGGAGC